AAAAAACAAAGAAACCAAACAAACAAACAAATGAAAAATGAATCCAGAGACACTAGAAGTTGGGTAACTGAACACTTGAATAATTAATTTATGGTTGAAAAATAAAATCATAAAAGCATAATTATCAAATACAGGGACCTGAGCCTCCAAACTATTTTAAACAAGAAGAAAATGCAATCATGAAATAGTTTTCCAAAATAACTTCTCTGATAAAAACATTAATCTGTGTAAGAAAAAATTTTTTCAGAATCACTCACAATTATACTAGCTCACAAGCACTAAAAACTGGCCCTTCCCAAAATGCTTCTCCATTGGTCCTGTCAAGCTACCTAAAATGCTCAATCTTTCCCTGCAGGACTGGCACCTGCTGCTCTAGTGCCATATACTCTCTGTAAAGGGTATAAAGAGAGCCATTAATATCTTAGCATGAATTTATTTGACATACAAATTCCCAGTCCGTATAAATGCAGATGATAGGACATTTGCAGGCAAGGCTGTCAAAGACCATGGTCACCAAGGGAGACCCTGGAACTACCTTCTGATCTCTGAATTGAACATAGCCACATCCCGTTCTGGACACTCACCTTAAACAGATCAGACAAACACAGCTGCATGGTCCAAGCACGTGGTGATTTTTATTAAGAATAACTTTGTTTCTAAGATTTCCACCCTCAATTCTGTAATACTTTCCATTAAAACAATTATACAAGAGCAAATACAAAAAATATTAAATTATGAAAACAAACCTTTTAAGGCTCCCTTTATATATATTTTATACACTCAAACAAGGCAAGATTGTTCAGAATAGAAGAATAAAGTCAGCTGTTATAGCTTAGAAAGCAACACTACTTTACTATTAAGAGACTATAAAACACTGAACTATTTAAAGAAAACCACAGAATGGAAGAATAGAGCCATTTTTGTCAAATGGTGGCTCCAAGCACAGAACTGCTCAGATGTTTATGAGTCCTCAGTTTATAGTGCTAAGTACAAGAGAGACTGACCACCTTTTAAACACAGCTTGTGGGCCCAGATGACCAGAAGATGTCAAAGCTTACTTTCCTATACACTCTGCTACTGAGCCACACCCATCACTCTACACAATTTACAAGTCCTCTTTAGATCAGACCTTGTAGTATAGCTACAATCAATTCTGCAGATCTTAGTGCAATTAGAAGGGAAATTCTTTTTTAATTAACTTTTTCCCAGGGTTGAATGAATCCTAAGGAAGTTCTAGGAACAGAATTTGTCCTTCTAGCTCTTGAGATTTTTGTCAACTGGCAAAACTGCTTCAAGGAACAGATCTCAAGATCAAAATCCTATTAGATAAAGATAGGAGCCAGTCCTGAATCTTCACTTTACAGATCACACTATGAGTCCACAGAGCAAGAACTCTAATCAATGTGCAATAAGGAATGTTCTTTCAAAATGATCACTTACCTCACTTTCTTCTCTCAAAGAGAAGAATAATAAGAAAACTGTCACCATTCTAATCTTCAACAGCAAACTATTTTAGAGCAACCTCAGCATGTCATATTTAAATAATATTTGCTGATGAGACAAATAATCCATTTCAGGTGTAAACAGCTAATATATTTCTCTAACTAGGAGTATATTATCATCTATTTAATCTTAGTTTGTTCACATTGGGACTGAATGTGGGCCTGTTGATTACTAAAAGCATCTCCCACAGAAAGCTAATGTCTACTTGCTAGTTAAGGATTCCAAAACTCCGAATCCAACTTTCTATGAGTTGTAAAGGAAGTATAAAAGCCTCTGATGTAGAAAGGCTGAATCATCTCTATGAAAAACATTCTAAATCCACAAGAATTCTTCCATGTCAGCAATATAAAATTAACTTTTCATGAGAATTTGCTATTATTTGCAACTTGGATGTCTCTGAATAGCATGCTAGTTAACATAAGGAAACTGAGTCCCTTCTCCCTGCACCTCAGTTTCTCTTGAGAGATGCAATAAAGTAGTCGTCAATATTATCCTTACCAACAGCAAAATGCTGAGAGAGTGGTAAAAGTTTTCCTTCATAAGAAAAAAAAAGAGTAAAGAAATACACAATCATTAATCAAAAAGTTTTCAAAGCTTAGATTCTACTAATATTTAAAATTTGCAAACAAAAGCCTCCTTGAGATCAACTGATACTTGTTTCTCATTAACATACCTAAAGAAGGCCTCACCATCCAGCTCCTGATGGGAACTTTTCCTGCACTGTGCTCAAGGGAAATTAAGATTTTTGTACTCTTTACTTTTGACATTAAAGCTGGGCTATACAGACTATTTCTGTTTTCCAAAGGAATTAGGATTTTTTTTTCTTTTCCTGAAAGAACTATCTCAGCAAGAAATTTAAAAATAAAACTGAACTGAAAACATGTTGGCTATCAAAGCAATAAATGAATTTACATGAAATACCTTCTGGGAAGTGGATACCTCCACAAAGCATAGAACTGAAAGGAATTAAAACAGACCAACATGAATCTTTATATGTTTTTACACCTTCTTAATCTATTTCTGAATTTTGGTGCCCAAAATGGTAATAGCTGTGTTCAACATTAACATTCTCCACTGTTAATTCTAACATTGGTGAAAGTATAAATTAAACAAGAAAATTTTGATTTCTCAAAGTAGAATTTACAAATATTGGATGTAACCAATTAAATGCACTTTTACTAATCTAAATTATCTTATAGATAACCAAAAGAAGAAATAAACACATTTTCTTTAGCTCTTCAAAGAAAATAATATTTGCTCCAGTGAACTAAGATTGGAAGAAAAACCAAGTAGTGCAGCTCTCAGGATTTTTTTCCAGTGTCCTCTTCCTTTTTTTTTCTTTTGCTTTAAGTCTCTGAACACAATTCCATTATTCCAACTGGTCAATGTCCTTCATTTGGCGAATGGGAACTACAATTTTCATAGATAATTTATCCATCCAGACTGTAATCAAATCAAATCAAATTGTTGTCATAGTCAAAATTCTTGGCTGGCTGAAATTCTATCCAGGGGCTCTGGCCCTGAGACAAATGCAGAGAAGGCACTTAGACACAGCTCTTGTGGTGATGGCAGGACACACCAGGTCTCCAGACAGCCTCCGCCTAGGACTCCTGGGCTTGGGCCACCTCTTGGCCTGTTCTCCTGAGATTGCGTTTCACCTTCACAAACTCGGGGGCATTTTCTTGTTCTTCTTGCAATTTCTGCTTCTCAAGTTCAAGCTAAATGAAATTCAAAACCAGGAAAATTATTTACAAACTGAGAGGCTTTCAAGGCACTCCTCTCATTCCAATGGAAGAAATTCTCTCTCAGTCCCCTAATAGAAAGAAAGAAGGAAAGCAAGGGAGGGAGAGAGGGAGTAAGGACTGATTCTGCAGAGGCAGCACCCAACTGGTTGTTACTACCAACGACAGCAAGAGAAGACAGAAATGAAAAAGTCAAAGCCAAGAAAACAAAATCCCGAGAAGAAGACGCAGTTGCCCTGGAGTCCAAGTGAGGCTGAGCTGCATTAAATTACTCCAGTACTCTGTTTATTCAGCGATATTTCTCTGATTTGCCTTTGCCTTGAGCATTTCTTTTAGGTCTTCAATAAAATTCCTGTCTCTGCCTATATACACCATCTGCTGACATTTTCTTTCTTTTCTTTCAAAGCATCAATGTTTATATCTGATATGTCTGGGAGATTCTGCTTGTTCCAACATCCTTATTTCTTAGAAATGAGAAAGAATGCTTTCCGCCACTCACTCTTACCTGCTCCAACTTCTGCTGCCATTTTAAAAGTTCTATTTTGAGGTCAGATTTCTTCTTTTGTGCTTCTTCTTCCTTCTGTTTGATTACTTGGTCTAGTTGTCTCTTTTCCATCACCTTCTGCAATTCTGATTTATTCTGAGGGGCAAGACCCCTGCAAAAAAAGCATTAATGAAAATGAGAAATGTTCATCATGAATAAAAATGTAATTGAAGATATCAGCCACAGAAAAGAGGTCTGAAGAATCAAACACCTCTGATACCTACTCCTAAGCTGTTAATTGGGGTGCTCAAAAACTCACCATCATCAAATAAAGAACAAGAATATCTTCCAAAGAATGTGTAAAATCCTTACTCAATAAAAATGTATTGAGCACCTACTATGTGCAAGACATTAGACTATACAAAGCAGGGTGATGGAGATGGGGATAGGTGGGGAAGTACCCTCATGTAATGGGTATGATATGTACCCCCACAGAGAGGTAAATGCCTAGGACCTGAGGAGTCTCCACTGGGGAGAATTCCTGAGGTATAGCCTCTGACCTCATGCATTAATGCAACCCAGGGATAGGTTAGCACAAATCTTTTTCCTACCCTAGAAACCTCTTCCTATTCTCCATTTTCAGATCCCAAAAAGAAACAACAGTCTCTGTGACCAAGATTATATCATTTCCAAGGGTCATGGCCAGGCACAGCAATCAATCATCTCCTGTCAGTCTACTGTTCTTTGTGCCTAGACCACCTCAGATACGTGGTTTATTTATAATACATGAAATTCAGGCTTCAAGGAAACTCTACTCTTCTGAGAGATAAATTAGGTGGCCATTTTTTTAAATGGGGAGAAATAAAACCAAAACAGGCTATTCACTAGCAACCCTCCATCTGATATGTTTGAGCCAAATCAAAGGAAAGACCCATTGACACGTTCTTAAGTAGGACTCCTGTCTATGTTTGATGTCAGTTTATAATCACCTTGTCTCTATGTCTGTTATGATTTGGATGTGAGGTGTCCCCCACAGCTCACGTGTGAGACAGTGCAAGAAGATTCAGAAAAGAAATGATTGGGTTGTGAGAGAGCTCTTTAACCCAATCAGTGAATTAATTCCCTGATAGGGATTGACTGAGTGGGAGCTGACTGAGTGGGAGCTGAAGGCTGGGAGGGTATGGCTGGAGGAGATGCAACACTGGGGGCATGGTGTTGGGGTATATATTTTGTATCTGGTGAATGAAGTCTCTCTCTGTTGCCTGATCATAATCTGAGCTTCTTCCCTTTGTCACACTCTTCTGACATGATGTCCTGCCTCACCTTGTGCCCTGAGGAATACAGCCAGCCACTACGGACTGAAACCTCTGAAATGGTGAGCCCCTAAATACACCTTTCCTCCTCTATATTTGTTCTGGCTGGGTCTCTTAGTCACAGTGGTTAAGTAGCTGACTATAATAATGTACTTTGCCATTTCCTTGAGATTTTCTCAAGCCGGGTTTTCCAGGATGCTGGACAAGACCACCTACCTCTTCCTTTTTGTCTCCCCTAGCTATTTACATTGGCCTGACTCTACTAGCTCACCAGCAACCTCAACTTGATGTTAAAATTTATTAAGAGCATTTAAAATAAAAACAAAATAAACCATAGAACAAGAAACACACTGATGATTTCAGACCATACATGGTCAATAATGGCTGGTATATTTACACCCGACTCAAGAGGGGTTCACACTGGGCTGACTGTAAACTCAGCCTGGTCTCACAGAGGCACTACAATGTCTCACCACTGCCTGCCCCTGCTGCTCACTGCTGATCTGGAGGATGGGACATCAGTCTAGGCAGTTGTTCTTTGAACTACTCCAATCAACTTACTTAGGAGTCAG